CTAACCGGGTGTAACTAAACTTAGAATTGACAGGTAAACTGCGAATGGACATGTAAACTGAGAATAGACAGGTATAATTTATTTATGGCTTATCAATTATATTTTAAAAATATAAATGATGTATATGTATTATGTAAATCAAATTTATCCAAAATTAAAATTATCGAAATAAATAAAATAGAATATGGAAGAAAGAGTAGTCCATAAATTTAAAATATGTATAGAACAGATATGTTATAATTAATAATCATAAATATATTTCCGTTAGATGGCGTAATAGACTAAAAATTAGTTTTCAATTAAAAAAAATATGAATTATAGGAGCATAATTCTTTACTTTGGATTAATTTATTTGGTACAAGCTAAATCATAAAATGAAAAGAATTTTAAGTTTCCATCATTATTTTTGGAGTTCTGATGTCAATTCTCAGTTTAATCAATTTTTTAGATTTTTGGGATTTTAAAAATATTTTATTTTTTGACTCATTTTGTGTAAACTTATTCATATAAACATAAAATGAAAAAAATTTTAAGTTTCCGTATTTTTTGAATTATGGTCAATTCTCAGTTTAATAAAAAAAATTTAGATTATTGGGATTTTAATAATATATGATTTTTTGACTCATTTTGTGTAAACTTACTCATTTAAACATAAAATGAAAAAAATTTTAAGTTTCCGACATTATTTTTTGAGTTAAGATGTCAATTCTCAGTTTAGTCAATTTTTTAGATTTTTGGGATTTTAAAAAAATTTAATTTATTGACTCATTTTGTATAAACTTACTTATATAAACATAAAATGAAAAAAATTTTAAGTTTCCTTCATTATTATTTGAGTTATGATGTCAATTCTCAGTTTAGTCAAAAATATTTAGATTTTTGGGATTTTTAAAATATTTTATTTTTTTGACTCATAAATAAATTCAATAATTTATAGTTGATATTGAATCGAAAAACTAGTTTACTTCAGTTAAAATTTAGGGGCTCTTAAAAGGGCCGTTGGGTAATCATTGGTCTAAAAGACCGTTGGGTTTTTATGTCATAAATAAGTCAAATAATCGTTTAAATAAAAGACTAAGGCTAACGAATTCTTGTTTCCAGCTTAAATGTTACCTATATCATATTCTAAACTTCTTATTCACTCATTTTTTTATTATTTTATATCTTGGGTAAATTAGGATATGAAGGATCGAACAATTCATTTTTTCTTCATACCTAAAATTGTTTTTGTATGAATCTGGTTCCGGTCAAATTTAATTATTAATTTAGCTTAGATTAAACGACTTACATAATTATGTTGCATACCTGTGGCAGATTTTTAAATAAATTTAGTTGATAAATTAAACGGAAGTAGGACTTCAAGTACAAATTTCAAAGTTTTAAAAAGATAATTATTTTTATAAAATTAGTTAATATGTAATGTATATTACATTACATAAAACGGTACTCGAAATATCTTATATAATTTTTTATTCACCATTGTAAAAATGTTGTTTACAGATATGGGAAATAAGTTATTATATTATTATAATTATTTATCTCACGAGAATATATATAAAGGTATAAAAACTATTGTTTATTCATATATTATATTCTCAATTTATAAGGTAAAAATTTTATTTATATTTTACTAATTTAATGCTAGGTTGGGTCGGGCGTTGGAAAATTTTTAAATTTATTAATTGCAGATCATGATATAATAGGCCCTCGAAATGTAAAACAAATAGCTAATGTTAAATATAATCTTTTAAGCAAAAATGAATTATGATACTTGTCTAATTTTGCTGATCAAGCTCTTGACATTTTAAAAAACATGTATAAATACCCATTGGTACAAAAGGTTGCTAATCTCTTATTTTATATTAAATATATATGCTCAAATAATAATCCTAGCATTATAAGTATAGATAAAATTTAATTTGGGAGAATTGTTTGTAACATGCATCGTTTTAAAACATAAATGCATAAAAACTCACCGTTTACACGATCATCCAATTTTCTTAGGACCTATATTTTTACACGGTAATTCGGATTACCAAACATTTAATAATCTCCCACCTTGAATCAATTTTTTAAAAAAATCGTATACCCTTAAAAATTTAATTTTTGGGAGTGACGGAGAATTTTATAAATTCAACACATCTTTTATATACTAAACACATTAAAGAAAATTTAATTCATTTTTTAACTAATAACGAAGGAGTTGAAATAAAAATTAGAAACATAATTATAAATTTTTATATCAATAAAGATGGAATAATATATTCATTAACCGATGAAATCTTTAAAAAAAATACTGATAATTTTAAAACAATTTTGCTTAAATAAAAATTATATAAAATTTGTAAAATATTTAGATAATCATTTAATAGATAAATTATATAATATGGTATATTTACCTTTTAAAAATAAATATTTTTAACACCCTACACCAACAATAATTGTGAAAGTATAAATCCATGTGTTAAAAACAAAATTTGATTGGAAAAAAACTTTTTTACATATAATGATAAATAAAATAAATGATAGTTTTAATCAGGGATGCGGACCCGATAAAATTTTAGCCCCGGGTTCGGTTCGGTTTAAGTAAAAAAATAAAAGGTGGGTTCGGGTTCGGTTTATGGAAATATTTTGGTTAGGGTTCACCATTTCGTATGAACATTTATGAAAAAAAGTAAAATGACCTAAAATGGCCACATATATATTTGAAGCGAGTATAATATTTGTATAATTTTAAAATGATGTAACAGATTAGACAAATAAATTAAAATATACTTTTTATTTTAAATAAAATTAAATATAAATATAAATTGCTAAATGGTAATTAATATAGATTATATACAATTAATATTATAATAATTGTATATAAAATATATGATCATATTTTATATTAATAATAGAAAAGAATATATTAAAAAATTTAATTAATTAAGATAATATATTATAAATTGCAGATAATTTACAATATTTTAGAAAACTCTTCTAGATCTATTAATATATAACAGACAGCACGATTATACTATAAATATATCTTTGAATCAGTGACGAAGCAAAATAAAAAAATGCTTTTTTTTATTATATTATTTTTCCTTACTTAATTAATGTTAAATATTTGTAATTATGTTATTGAAAATTTATTATGATTATCAGAGTTGTATAAAAAGTATATGCATCTATATACTATTTCAGAGGTATCTGTTTATAGATACTTTTTTTTGATATACTTTTATTTAACGCCTTTTTATCTAAAAAATAAAAATATTTAGATGCAAATTTTATGTTATATATATGAGCATATAATTTAAATAAATATATATTATAAAAATATTAAGACTAATATAATAAAAAAGTATATAAATAATATTAAAACTCATATATAGAAAAAGATATAAATATCATTTTTTTCCCCATTATCTATAGATATCAGTTCAAGATTCTGAAGGATATTCTTATCATGCAAAGGAATTTATAAATCCTTGCTTAGACATGACGCCTATTAATTATAAACAATACCCAGAGTTGGGCAGGTCATCCGGAAAAAGAATCTATACAGATACAGATTCTTTGTAAAAAAATGAATCTTAGATATAGATACTAATATCTTTTTCAAAATATCAAAAAGATACAATATAAAAGATACTTGTATCTTTTGCCTAATTAGAGTATCTTAAATACAAGATACTTCTAAATTATCCTTACCAATTAAATTAGAATAGTTTGTAAAATACAGTTTTTATTATTTATTTGTGAAGAACATAACATACATATAATAAGAATGAATATTTACAATAATTAATAAAATATTTAATGATGAGTTGATTATAATAATCAGGTATTTTAATATTAGTATTAGCCCATTCTTAGCATAGATGAAAGGAGACTAGTATTTTTAATGGGAGTTGAAATATTAATTTGCAAAAGAGTATTTAAAATAAATTCATTATTTTATAAGATAATCAAATTTTTCAAATATTTAATTGGACCTTTGCCGTTTTGGCGTACTTAACATTGTGCCAAAACTAAATAACCTTTCAATTGGAGCTGATGAAGGTATTGCAGTATTATATTTATAAAAAATTTCCTTAATGGAAGGATAATTATTAAGCATTTATAATGTATTTCGACTTTCTTTAATATAATTTAAAACCCCCAGTTCAATGTTATTTATATTATTGAACTCCGCAACCTTTGTTTTACCAAAAGAAAAATAATATGGATGTGATATTGATATCAAAAAGGCCTCATTATATTCAAATCTTAACTAGTATCTTATTAAAAATTTCAAAAAGATACTGAGTACAAGATAAAAATATTTTTGACTTCGATTGAAAAAAAGTTATTAAAAAATTTAAAATCTAGCAATAACTATTATAATTCTGTGTTTAATCATTTTACTCAAAAACAAAGACGAATTATACTTATTTATATATTTTAATCTTTTTATGGTTTGACTAAAAATAAAAATTCTATTGCTTCCATAGTAGTGAATTTGACGCTTCGTCACTGCTTTGAAACTATATAAATATTGAAGTTTATCATAAGTACTTTTGTGGGTTAATACATAAATTCTTTATCATAAAATTAAATTTTTTTATGCTAATATTTAAAGTTTTATCTTTAGGTAATATTAATTCAAAAATGTTTTTTCTGTAAATGTTTAATTAATCTATATACCTACTCTATTACCCAATATTGTTACATTAATATATAACCCATATTAAGATAGTTGATTTTCTTAACTATATCATATCTTTGTCATCTTTCCTAACTATTCAAATGTCTGACTTTTAAAACTTTTTCTAAAATTTAAGTGGCACGCTTTTACCTGGTCAGAAAATTAAATTATTCAAAAATGAACATAAAGTAGTAATAATATTTTTAGGGATTTATTTATTATTTATGTCATAGAAAATTTTAAATATATAATATACCAACAATATTAAAAATAATATATTTCCATTGCGATTATTATAATAAGATTACATATTAGTATTGCGCTATATAAATATGATTAAAAGATTGTATGGTAAATTATTAAAAATGGTTTAGTGCGTGTTAACTATATAAATAAAATATCAATGACGAAACAATATAAGGTATATGTAAAAAAAAATTTAATAACTATAAATTTTGAAAATGACGTATACCACCTCTGTCAAACCTGACTATAAATACTCAGATTAATAGTAATGTTATCCTTTATTGACAATATAAAACAATATAGTTAGACAATGGCAGAAAAATTAGAGTGATTTGATTTTTTTGAATATAAAAATTTTGATATTTTCTCCAAATATTCTATAGGGGTAAAAATACCTCCACAGTATAGTATTATATTTTCATTAATTTTATCATCTAATATACAGTATATTTTTTTTCTTTCCGTAACCTTTCTGCCATCATCTAATTGGAATAATTTCAAGTCCATATCTTGTTCTATAATTTTTATGGTGTCAATAAAGAGATAAATATTAGGGTGCGAATAAGGAATGTATTTTTTTAATGAGCGATGAAACCCTTCTACATGGTTATTCGTCCTCACGCCCCTAATATCAAATGTATTCCACATTTGATATTTAAATTTTGCATTAAGATTAATCCAAGTATTTTCAAAATAGTTTAAAAAATCATGTATTGAATTTATTTTAAAAACTTCAGATTGTCGCCTCAGATCGTTAATTAAATATTACACATCCCTTTCTAACAAAAAAGGAATGGCCATTATAATTCGAAAAAATTTTTTTAGTTCAATATTTTGTCTAAATAGTCGGGTTAGATGACTATCTTTAATACGCCTAATAACGTACTGACAGAAGTGGAAATAACAGCCCTTAACTATAATAGTGCGAAAAATTGCTTTAAGGGCTAAGTATACGCCAATTTCAAAATCAATAGTGGCAAAACGGGGGGAAAAAATAACCCTAAAGATAAACAATGATTTTTTAATAATAAAAACATATTTAAATAAGTATTTTTATATTTATCTGCTGGCAATAAAATGTATGCACAAATAATTAGAGTATGATTAATTAAAATAGAAATAGTATAAAATTGTTTAAATAATTTAGGAGGCATTAAATTTTTCAGCCAAACATAGGCGTGATAAAAGTTTATATGTTGTAAAAATAAATAATTTATTATCTTCACTATTAAAAAATAAAAACTTACCCCTACCCTTACAACTATTCTTTCTGCATTTATAATATAGGTCGCCGAAATCATAAACGTATAAATATTTGTTATAATATATCATGTTTTTGTTATTTTTGGATTTTATGAAACTATGATTGTTTTGAATGATAGCTATGTTTAAAAATGATATAAATATCTATAAGATACTATTTACTTGGACTAGTGGTACCTCCATTATAGGCATCTATTTCCTCCAAGACCACTCGGTTCATAACTTTGTTAAAAAATGGATAGCACAAATATATAATTAAAATTTACTTGGACTATTGATAATTCTGTTATGGGCATCTATGTCTTCCAAGACCTCTGGGTTCATAACTTAGTTAAAAAATGGATAGCACAAATATATAATTAAAATTTACTTGGACTATTGATAATTCTGTTATGGGCATCTATTTCTTCCAAGACCTCTGGGTTCATAACTTTGTTAAAAAATGGATAGTACAAATATATAATTAAAATTTACTTGGACTATTGATAATTCTGTTATGGGCATCTATTTCTTCCAAGACCTCTGGGTTCATAACTTTGTTAAAAAATGGATAGTACAAATATATAATTAAAATTTACTTGGACTATTGATAATTCTGTTATGGGCATCTATTTCTTCCAAGACCTCTGGGTTCATAACTTTGTTAAAAAATAGATAGCACAAATATATAATTGAAATTTACTTGGACTGTTTGTGATGTCAAAAACTTGTAGATTAAAAGCTTTAAAAAATTATTGTAAATATATATTTGATATTTTACTTTGGCATTCTGCAGTGCACACATTTGATGCTATAATATAAATACACATGATTCAGTAATTAAGTTTTTAATTTTTTATACTTGGTAAAAATAATGATATATTTGTCTGTGTAGAGGCATCCATTAATAGAGCATTGTCAGCTAAAATATATTTATATGAAATATTTAGCTATAAAAATCACTTTGTGTTGATATCGATATATATCTTTTCTTAGGGCAATCAGAGTCTGTGTAAAGAAATAAAAATTTGAGTATTTAAAATAATTTATAAATCACAATTATTTACCTTGAACAGGGAGGTTCACAGATGGACCTTGAAAGTAAGAGGTTAGACTTAGAGAATCATCTAAATTGGAATATTAATTGGATAATATGTGGTAAAATATTTATACCTAAAATTTGAGTATTTAAAATATATTATTAATCACAATTATTTACCTTGAACAGGGAGGTTCACAGATGGACTTTGAAAGTAAGAGGTTAGACTTAGAGAATCATCTAAATTGGAATATTAATAGGATAATATGTGGTAAAATATTTATACCTAAAATTTGAGTATTTAAAATATATTATTAATCACAATTATTTACCTTGAACAGGGAGGTTCACAGATGGACCTTGAGAACAAGAAGCTAGACTTAGAGAATCATCTAAATTGGAATATTAATTGAATAAAATATTTATAACTATTTACTTTGAATTGGCTTGCATGTTTCTAAATGTTTTACAGTGATGCTAAATTCAGTACCACAAATTTTAGCTCTTCCTCCACATTTTCTTCTACATGTATGATATATAGCATTCTTTCCATGTTTAAATCATATCCTCCATAAAATATGCACTCTTTGTTTTGCCTAGTTTTCTAAAAAATAATTATTATATGCAAATTAAATAATATATACTTTAATTTCTAATTTTCTTAGTGTTGATAATTGTTGCGATATATCTTTAACCTCTTTAATTTTCATAATTACTTCAAATACAATTTTGGAAATCTTCGAGATTTTTTTGGGAAACTTGGCAGTACGACAAAACGCCTAATTCATCCAATATTTTTGAACCCGGGTTTGGTTCCGGGTTCAGCTCGGGTTTACAAATTTTTGAATTGATATTAAAAAACTAGACATAAATTTGGTATAAATATAAATTGTCTATTTTATTTATACGAAAAATACATTTAAAAATACAAAACAGTCATATATCAATTTTAAAAATTTTATTTAGACGGATTAGCATAATATCTTCCAGGAGTTGTTCACTCATCCTCGATCTATGTGGTGAGAGAATGAATTTCAAATGTGAAAATGATCTTTCAACGCTGACCTATCAGATGTCTTTCTAAATTAGACAAATGATTACCAGACATTTTTAATTTGCAATATGAGCATACTGATTTATTTTCTATTGTATCAAGAGTAAAATGCTTCTCAAATATGACTTTATCTTTTATTTTAAATCTATATAATAATGAGGATCTTTTATTAAAGAGTTAAAGAGGATAAATTTTAAATAGCAATGATTTCATAGAATTAAAAAAAAGATATATAAATTTAATTTCAATTATAAAATACACTTCATTAATTTAACCTGAACAAAAAATAAATCAATATAATAATTTTTACTTTGACTTGTTCATTCCTTTAATTAGTAATCTTTGAGACTAAGTTAAAAATTAAATATAAATGGCGTGAATGAATTTAATTGCTTTAAATTTATATAACACTCCAATAGGAATCTTTGAAAATAAATTTTTAAAAAAATTAAAAAATGGTGTAAATGAATTAAGTTGTTAAAAATTTATTATCACTTCACTTAAAAGGTATTATGATAATATTATAAAATCTCAATTAAATTATTAATATTTGTATTTACAATTATACAAATATCTTAATATATGATTTTAAACAATACACTGAACCAGCTTGAAACCGGGTTCATAAAAACTCCTGGGTTCGGTTCGGGGTTGTAAAAATTTTATAAATGGGGTTCAGGTTCGGTTCGGGTTCAGATTTTTTATCAAAACCCGGGTTTACTCCTCCGGGTTCAGGTCTGGTTCAAATCCCTGGTTTTAATACAGGAGAAAGACTTCGAGAGAGCCATATGTGGGTTGGGCCTTATTATCTAACAAAGGCATTAGATATATCATCCATGCATCAGAGCTGGGCTGAGATGACAGGTGTTTAACATAAGGCAATTCTGTTGAAAATACTATAAGAAAATAGCAGGGTTTCGAACCGAACCGAACCGCCAAACAGGAATGAATCGTTGTGATTTTCTGAACCGTAACCTTAACCGTACCGTTATAAAGAAAATATAAAAAGAGCAAACCGAACCGTTAATAAATATTTTGAACCAGTTTAAACCGGTTCAAAACGGTTTTAAAAATAATTTATTTTAAATTACTAATCTAAATTTGAAATTTTACTTTTCCTTAGGGGAATTTTTTAAATTGGCGATATCTTTTCAGATAAAATATTTTTATATTATCAACATTATATAACAATTAATACCAAGTTTATTGTTTTTTTCTAAATTATCTGTTAATTAGATAAGATATCCTAAAATCACACATAATTATCCTTGGCTAAATTAACAAGTTTTTATATATAAGTTATTAATAAGCTTTTATAATAATACTTGCTAATAATTTAGGAAAAAATTAAATAAATCTACTATTAATAACTAACATCTAATAGAAATCAAGTACTTTTTACATTCATTTTTATATTATATGGTTTATTTTTTATCTCATTATAAAAACTTGGATCATAGAATTTAAATGTCATTAAATAAAATGGTAAGCAATATTTTAATGATATGATAATTTTTTATTTATAATTTTTTTTAAATTCAGAATTCTAATATTCATTTAAGTCATTATAAATTATTTATTATTAAAATAATATTTTTAACATTTGAAGAAAGAGAGATCGCCAGAAAACATCTTTGTAAAACTTGGAACTTGATACAAAGTCTAAATAATCAGAATATTGAAATTCTAAATACTATGCCTACGTGTTCGCATTCGAAAGATAATTTAGATGATGATTTTGAAAATTTATTAAATCGCATAAAAGTTTTAATAAGAATAATTCTCAGGGGATAGAAAATTATAATAAATGTATAGAAATAGAATATATAGGTCATTTGATAATATAGAGAGATTAGAAAAAGATACTAATCTTTTCAATTATTGGGAAAATGTAAAGAATAGTATGCCAGAACTTTATTAGCTATAACTGTGCTAGCAGTTCCAGCTACGCAGGTATCCGTAGACCGTAGAAAGAGCATTTTCTAGCCTTAAGTTTATACTCTCTGCACAGAGAACTAAATTATGAAATATTAGAAAATATTTTAGTTATCCGTTCTAATTCTCTTTTTGAATATAAATAGTATGCATTTTATTATATTTATGTGTTATTTTATTCATTATTGTATTTACGTATGTTTGTTTTTATCTTATTTATTTATGAAATAAAAAAAATTAATTTGTCTAATTTATATTTACTAAGTTTAATAAAAATATCTATTAGATTATCATGGTAAAATTAAATAAGAAGTTATAAATTAAAAAGGTTTTTCTCTAAAATTAATATATTCATGGTTTAATTTTTTTTAAATCAAATTTATAAAAACCAGAACAAACCGAAAAGAATCGTTATAAATTATAAACCTAACCGAACCGATATGAATTTATTTTAAAAAAACTGAAATGGAACAAAACCTTTATAAAATTTTAAACTAAAAACCGGAACAAACCGAACCGTTATGCCTAACGGTTCGAAACCCTGGAAAATAGTAATGGAAAACTAATTACCTCAACATGTGGTAGCTATAGTGAAATCATTAGGATCAAAAAAACCTAATTAAGCCAAAAGAGCCAAAGCGGAAAGAACGAAAACAATAAGGCCATAGATTTATTTGTTTTTATAAGAAATATATAATTTCCAACAATTAATACATACAATAATTAACTAAACTAGTAGAAAGCCCGTCAAAAATGACGGGGATGAGATTTTTATTCATTTTTTACGATAGATATCATGCCAGGTTCAAGCTCACAATATTAGGAAGCATCCAAGATCTTATAATTTTAAAATATTAGGAAGCATCCAAGATCTTAAAAAAGTTTATCAAGCCCAGCTCAACCCTTAATAATTTGTAAAAGATGTTCCCAAGTCAGGTGCAAGCTAATATTAATTTTGAGGTTCCAAGCTCAGTCCTACCCATTATAATTTTGAAAATTTTTTCCCGCCTCGGAGATAGTTAAATTTTTAATATCATTACATGAACGGGAAATATCTGATTTACCAATTAGTCTATATGGAAAAGAAAACATGTAAATTCCGTATTAAGGGAAACTGGGAAGGCCTGGGCAACCACTTATTAGAGAATCATGACAAATAAAATAAAAATAACCGACTCTTATACTTTTTTGTAATATGATCAATTAAAATTATATCTAAAAAATAAATTGTTGTTTATTATATAGGGTTGTTGTTGCTTTTCAGATAAATTTAATGTATGTCTTGCATTTCCGAAATTATTTGTCAAAGAATTTGATACTATTTAAATAACAAAAATGCCATTTAGCACTAATGAAACTTATATGCAAATTATTTATATATTTTTTAATATATTTTTTTTTATTGACATATAAATTTAGAATAATTTTTTTAAAAAATAATTAGGATTAATTATTATATATTTGATAAAATTAAGAGCAAATACTTGTTCTCATTTTTATTTTTGATGGAAAAAACGACAAAATAAATCTGGAAGGTTGTCTGGAAAGGAAATAATTAATGTACAATTTCATATCATTTAGGGTTGTAGATGAAAGTAATGACGGATTACCAAAGCAGTGTACAAAACACAATACGTCCTGATAGATGAGTCATATGCCTATGCCTTGGGATACTGGTAAAAGAAGAACGCAAAATGAGATATCAGTCAATGTCAGCATTGGTAGCCCCCTCTAAAATAGAATCATGAACGACAAAGTTAACTCAACCATAAAAAGTAGTAAGAATTGTTATAAAAAGCATGACAGTACTACTGCATATTTTTCCATTAATAAAGATGATGAAAATAAGTGAGGTTAGGACATGGCTTGTTATCTAAAATAAAAACAAAGGCATAATTAAAAAACATATTAATGTATTAAACCTGAAGAGGAGACAATATTAGATTAACCTCTCTAGAAATAGTGGGAATATCATCCACCAGAAGCTAAAATAGATGTATTCTAAAATGAAAAATATAAGCATTTTAAGTATATATAGATGAAAAACTTTATTTTACATTTGGTAGATTTTATTGGGCTTCACGTCATATGACCCAGTATAATTTTTTTGCTTGAATATGAGTTGAATTAAGAATTGAATGATATTTATTTTTTGATAAGCCCAGCCTTCTTTTGGAGTGTGTAGCCTGAGGTAGGGAAATAAGAGAAAATTAAATGGAAAGAAAATTGGGAAATTAAAAGGGAAAGGAAGATAAAAAATAGGGAAATTAAAAAGTGTAGATAGGAAAGGGAAATGATGAGAAAGGGGAAGATAATAAAAGAAATTAAAAGGGAAAGAAAGGAAAAGAGAATTTTAGTATTTTTTAAATTTTGATTTTTCCCGTATTATTTGAGACTGTTGTTAAAATAATGAATGTTAGTGAAATCTTTAGTAGGGATACATATGTTGTCGGCATAGCTTAGTCAGTCTACATTTTCTATGTTACTGAAAACTATTCTTTGAGTTAAAATATATATCTTTATAAAAATATTAACATAAGACTAACATTTAACATTAAAAAATCCCAATCTAGGTTCAAGCCTACAATATCTGGAAAAAATATTCAAGCATCCAAGATCTTAATAATTTGAAAAGATTTTCTCAAGCCCACCTCAATCCCTAATAATTTTGAAATTAAGTCTAGAGATATTAAATTTATAATTAATGAAGGGGAAAGCTCTGATTTACCAATTAGTCTACGGGTAAAATATATAAGACTAACATTTAACATTAAAAAGTCCCAATATAGGTTCAAGCCTACAATATTTGGGAAAAATTTCCAAGCATCCAAGATCTTAATAATTTAAAAAGATTTTCTCAAGCCCATTTCAATCCCTAATAATGTTTGAAAACCAAGCCAATATTAATTTTAAGAATATTTTTTAAGCCCAGTCCAACCCATAATAATTTTGAAAAAATTTTCCCAATCCTAGAGATATTAAATTTATTGAATTAACTCACATATGAATTTATATATAAAATATTAATAATTTGTAATATTTAGTAAATAATGTATTACTTTGACAATTGGTTTTAATATGGCCTCCTACAGTTGCACTAATTTAGAAAAAAATTATGTGAATTG